CTTATAGAACAGAATCTAACTTCTAAAAGGATATGTGACCCTGCCTATCAATATGTGCACATTATGGTGAGGTTCGCATATTACATGGTCCGCACTGTTTGCTAGATAAGATGCATGATAGGCAGGGCGCCTGCTAGACAAGGTGCTTGATAGGCAGGGCGCTTGATAGACAGGGCGCCTGCTAGGCAGGGTGCCTGCTAGACAAGCTGCTTGATAAACAATATATCTGCTGATCTATCTATAAATAATAATGGATAACACACAGGCCAGTAGAAGTGGACTTCTATTAGTTATTTTTTCTTATCAATAGTTTAATATTGTTCTAGTTTGCAGTGATGGAACACAAAGAATAATGAACACAGAAAATAATACGACCGACTTGTCGTCGGATAAAATCATCCTATTTATGTATAGTCTGCAAATATCAGTTTGTTTTACATACTATACATAAGCAGGAGAGTAATGAAAACAGATATTTAAACATCCGTCTGATTTGCTATAGTCAGGTAATACTACTCCAGTATGTGTTAACAAAGCACAAAGAGCAGCCATCAAAGAGTATAAATACAGAAGTCTTCTTTACAACAGATTCATTTCTTTTATTGCTATATCATGAATCTATTTCCATGTGGATATTATTAGTCAAGATATGGATGAAACGTTCGTCAAACAATTATGTGGCGAAAAAACTATTGTGACGCCCTTTACGTCATCTCCTTTATCGTCAAAAGCTTTCCTGTTTCAAACGGCACCCAAATTACCTCATTCGCCGGTTTTGTCACAAAGTGATTCCTTGGCCCATGGCCGTCTACCTTCAGCACAGTGGCTTGATTCACTCGATTCCAGTTGGAACATAAATGACGATGGCACAGATCCTCAATGCGGTGAATTCATATCGGACGCACAATATGAAGTGGACTTACAAGGTGAAATTACTTTTGGAGAATCCACAAAACAGAAGCCCATAATTTTTATGAGCGGCTACAGCTATCTATTTATGTCGGCAGCGTCAAAACTTGGCACTACCGGCTACCGCTGTGCTAGAAAAGATTTGAAATGTCCGGCTACAATCCATATATACACGAATAATAATACGTTCCAACGATGGAACCGAAAGCGACATGTTCATCCACCTGATCCAATTGATCGTCGACGACGTCTGATTATAGCGACGATAAAGAAACCAGTGATCAGCGAGCACATTCCGGTCTGCAGCATTGTGGAACAAGAGTATACAAAAGCTAAACTAACGAAAGAAGAGCAGGTTGTATTTAAAAACCCCAAACAGCTTGGTTAGTTTTTCAGTTGTAAATATATTAATCGTTTCAATTTTAAAATAAATTGCTAACCAACGTGAAAACTTTCGACGAAAATATGTTTCATTTTTATTTCAGAATCAGGCTTATTGAAATCTCGACGAAAAATGTATCCACCTTTACCGACGTGCCAGAATTTTATGATACGTGATTTTATGCTAACAACTACTGATTCTACACGATTCTTATTATTTGATGATACACGTGATGAATTTGGTGGTCGATTACTTGTTTTTTCTTCCAAACATCAAATAAATTTATTATTAAAGTATGATATGGCGGATGGAACTTTTCGTAGTTGTTCTCGATTATTTGAACAAGTATATGTCATAATGGCAGTCAAATATTCTAAAAGTATGTCAGTTAGGTCGATTTAATCGCTCATTCTTCTGTATTCTAATCTAGCATATCCTGTGCTTTTTGCATTAACCACTAACCGGGAACAAGAAACATATTGTGCTATGATCGATGTGATCAATACAGAAGCACGAAATCGTGGTGTTTCATTCGCACCACATACATTCATTAGTGATTATGAGCGAGCGTGGATGAATGCGGTGAATCAAAAAGTAATGACAATCTTTTTAACCTTGGAAACCGACGTAAGCCGTTCGATAATTTTAGTTAATAACGACATCACTGTCTGGATGCGGGTTTCATCGCCTTTAGTGTATTTACAGATGGATTCAGACGAATGGTCTTGCAAAAACCTACGAAGAACACGAAGAAAACCGGCAGATTTTTCGCTCATTCATGGCACTGTCATTATTACCAAAAGATCGAGTTCATGAAGGATTTCACATTGTGAAAGTCGTGCGAAAAGGTACAATGAACTTCGTGAATTTATACATTATTTCGAGCGTCAATGGTTCAAGACATTTAAACCGGATATGTGGTGTGTTGGATCATCACCCATTCGTACCAATAATGCAACGGAATGTAAGTGCGCTTTCCGAGATATCTAACCATAACAGTCGATTGTATCTATTATGAATAATGAGCTCTTATGCAGCAATGTCTTGGAAAGTCCATTCGATAAACTTACGAAGCAGAATAAAAAGGCCTCTTTTATTTTTTTTAGCAAACAATCATAGATTAAATGCTAGAGTGAAGCAACATCACCCAAACATTTGGCATTTTTTGTGCATTTACGAAATGAAGAGGCAACTATTAGCCAAAATATTTTAAAAGCGAACCTTGATTTAATACTATCAGCACAATATCAAGGAGCTTCTCAAAAACGGGCTGCCAAAAAAACAATGCAAATCCAACATTTACACGATTTATTGGAGAAGAAGTCTCGAACATTAGAAGATGTGATAGTTTCCCTGTCGTACTTAGTTGGTGGCGGGAAAATCAAAGGAAGTCGTATCGACCATTGATTTAGTGTGGCAGTATTTCGATTTTCAAACAGCTATGAAACAAATTTTATTTAATCCTCATGGTTATTTGTATTGAATATATTACTAAATTCAGTCTTAATATGATCTCGCACGGGTACATTTACCATTTTATGTAAATTAATAACGTTTTATTATTGTTCGTTGTTATTCGATGCTGATTGTACAAAGGTGAAATTGTTTTGCTTTATTTTATGATTATGCGTGAGAGTGCTTAAGTTTTATGTGATATTTTAATACCATATGTCATTAGCTTTCGACATAATGCTTGTTTCATAAAATACGTTGTAGAATGCTTCAAAGAAAGTTGATAATCAAAACCTTTTGTTTATGGGTAGTTCCACCGGAAATCTCCCACTTTATGCAAAAGTGTCTGCGATCAGGCTGAAACTTTCAGCATTTGGACCTCTCATTATTATATTTACATGGTAAAAAAATCAGCTTCCTAACTCATCGGCATCCTACCTTTTTCGACGTCACACAATCGAATTTTATCATTTTTTTCGATTTTGATGATACAATTTTTCTACCTAAACGCGATCATGAAGACCAGCTCTATACATGCTGACAAAGCACTGATTATAGATTGTAATCATCAGTAAATGATCGGATTGATGTCGCTGTAATGCCCACTAATGGTACCCAAGATTTTTCAAAAAATGAAAAAACAGCAAAAAGAGACCATATCAATCACTAGTTTAGTGAAGTACTAACCTCAGCCTACATGCTACTATACTTAGTTCCTGCTCCCAGTTTAGTATTGCTCGAAACAGCATGATCCAAAAAAGTCCTATTTTCCACGTTCTTCATAGTATGTAAACACTACAATCTATCCCCTTATGGTGTGATTTATCAAGTAGAAATATTTCATCATTCTTTTTCTAAATAATCAGGAAAATTTCCGTTTATTTTCAATCATTGAAATAAGTAATGCCATGATAAATAATCAATAAAATGAGGAATTGTTTGCATAAATACGTATTATCTAGCTTTTTCTCGCATATCGTCGTTGCCTTCAACTAAAATTGTGGTTTGTAGTTTATATAGTGGTCTGGATGGATCAATCGTTCGTTCAATATACACATGATGCATTTTGTTAGTCCGTCTGTTAATAGATATAAACAGAACGAAAGGAGAAAATAAGCCTTGATTGGTAGTGTTTTGAACTTTTCTTGTTGGTTTGTTCGGATGTTCGTTGAAACAGTCTGAAATCATTTTGTACATAAAATTAAAACAAGATATTTCTATAACTTTCTGGCATTCGATCGGTCTTTCGCCCGATTGATTGATTAACGATGGCTCGTCGATCAATGGCAGCTGGTGGATCGGGAATTCTGTGTGCACATCCTACTCGACATCAAAATCGTCGTAAAGCTACACATCCAAAAGGCAAACGTGTCATATCCAAGCAGTTCGCCAATTACATACAAAAGTACTATCGTCGTGGTATCGGAAAGTCAAAGTTGTCAATACGTGAAGGAGATTTCTTATGTTTCAAGTGTTATAATTTTGAATTTATCAAGATGAGTAAAAAATATAAACTGACACAAGTGCAAGAAAGTGTTGTTGAACATTATCCTAAACTTGAACCAATGGAATTCGTGTCCTTTCTGAATTTAACTGAAGCGCAATCTGTTATTCAAGATGAAACATTGTCCAGTGCCAGCCCCAACTCTTCGAACGCTTCTATGAATGAATTTTATGATAAACAAGAAGCTGTTGATTCGTTGAACAATGTGTTTGAGTTAATGAATATCGAGCGAATTGTCGATGTGTAGGTTTCATTCAATAATACGAAACGAATGATAGTTCAAGTTTGATTGTTTTAGACGTCATCGTGATGAATTACGTTCGAAGAGTAACCAAGTCGTCGTTAAACTCCATAATATGCATGATAGTATTCTTGATTTGAAAATATCTTCCAACTCGAGCAATACTCACTTCTTGTCATCTGGTGTTACATTACATGACTATCAAACATTAATTGATGGTCTTAAACAATTATTTTTTATCAGCAACAAGGAGCAACAGCTCCAGTTACTAACAATTACCCCAGCCGAATGGGGTAGAAAAAAAATCGAATATTTCTTTAACTGTACTGAACACCAAGCAAAAGAGGCCATCTTACTGAGATATTTGTATGGTGTTTTAGCTCGACCAACGTATTTCAGTGGTAACAAACCACTTTCAAAAGAAATTATCGATCAAGTTTTAGAGTTCTACCAAGATGATAGAATTAGTCGGCAATCATCGAATAAAAAGGATAAAATCAAGGTCAATGGTGAAGATAAAATATTTCGATTCATGGATATGTGTGTCGGAGATGCTTATTTAGTATTCAAGAATGAATTTTCAAATATTAATATTAGTCACTCAAAATTCTTTGCTCTTAGACCCAAATGGGTCAAAATTAATTGTCCCAGTCAAGGTTGCCTTTGTATTTATCACGAAAACTTTCACTTATTGCTTGAGGTAATATTGTCTCCATTTCGTGTTCAGATTTGTTTTCTGTTACTGTTGATAGGCTTGGAACAATCGAAACGATGTTGACTGGGATTTACAACAACTTACTGATTGTATTTTATGTACATCAACAACGGAATCATGTTACACCGAACAGTGTGATGATTGTGGAGATCGTTCACCGAGTGATATCATGCGGTTGACATGCAAAGGTGATATCGACGACGAAGACAATGAGGTTCGGTGGTTCAATTGGATTCGAACGTCAGGAAAAGTTAGTTTGCAAGAAACATCTGGAAGTATGGCAACATTATTGAGTAAAATTGATGAACAATGGGCCGTTATTCTCTATCACCATCATGTTAAAGAACAGCAAAAATATTTTATACATGAAATCAAACAGCGATCTAGTGATCAAGATTACGTAGTTATCACCTGTGACTTTGCTGAAAATTATACTTTAGTTGCTCAACGTGAAGTTCAATCAGCCCATTGGAACCAACAACAAGTAGCTATATTTACTATCCACGTAAAAATCGGTGATTTGCATTTGAACGTCGCTGCAATCAGCGACTATTTAAATCATGACACTGTCTTTGTACATTGCTGTCAAAAAACAATCGTCACAATGGTTAAAGACAAATTTCCACTTGTTCGAAAAATTGTGTATGTTTCTGATGGAGCAGGAATGCACTTTAAAAACAAGTACAATATGTATAATCTTTCGTGTCATAAAGAGGAATTCGGCATAGGAGCTGAGTGGTTATTCACGGCAACGGGACATGGCAAAAGTGCCTGTGATGGTTAGTTAAATAGCATTTGAATTATATTCTAAACTCTATGTGGTTTGAGTTGAAACATTTGTTATATGACCATGCGTTTCATTTCTTCTTGTAGGCATCGGTGCTGCCCTCAAATGTTCAGCAACACGACACATATCACAATCCCAAAAGAAAACGTTTTTTTCATCTGCTGAAGATTTCTACGAGTTTTGCCGTGCTCATAAATCGTTATCATCGAAAATCGATGTTTTTTTTATCAAAAATAATTATGTTCTGGAACAGACGTACATACTGAATGAACGATGGAAAAAGCTGCCCACGAAAAGTAAGTTCCTTTCGTAGTCGATCAATCACACATATATTTTTCTTCGAAGGTTGGATTGTTGGTATCAAAGGCTTTCATCATTTTGAAAGTCCAAGTACAGGTCATTTAATCTGCAAAATAACATCTACTTCATCAGAACTCCACGAATTTACCTTAACTTAGTGAAAATTTATTTTTATCTATATCTCATAGAATAGATATGTATTTATGCAAACAATTCCTCATTTTATTGATTATTTATCATGGCATTACTTATTTCAATGATTGAAAATAAACGGAAATTTTCCTGATTATTTAGAA